GTGTAGGTAGTTAGGGTCTGGCGGCCGGAAGATATCACGTTGTACAGAAAGATAGGGCCCCTCCTCTGATAGCCAATAGCGTTTAGCTTAGCTTATGATGTAAGCAGACGGAAGTGACGTTGTAAACCCAAGCTATATAATGCCGTGTTGCTCACCAATAAACGCCGTTTACCGTCCGCCATGTTGGTGTCTGTGAGCTGATGGCCCGAGCGGCCTGGGGTTGGTCACCGTGCCGTTCCTGAACCAGGTCGTCACGCCTCTGAAGGCAACAAGTGGTGCCGAAACCCGGGAACTCGCCTGGAATCAGGTGAACGGCGGCCGGAGCGGCAGGACCAGGCCGGCGGGGAGGACGCTCCCGGACCAACAAGGAGGATGGAAGCCCTTGTGAAGGTCGTATCGCAGTTACATAAGCAGTGGGGTATTGATTGTAAACCCAAAGATTTTACTCTCGCAGTTGCGAGGCTTTTGCAAATTGGGGTCATTGACCAGCCGGTGGATATTCTCCACCCCGAAGTGTGGGATAAGTGCACTAAAGTGTTAGCCGAGGAGACGATGTCCTCGGGTTGTGGGAAAAACCTTAAGTCATGGGGCAAAGTCGTACAGGCCCTGCAGAAGGCCATACAAGAACAGGAGACCTGGAAGGCGGCAAAGAACTGTTTGTTGGCCACCCCGAAATTGGGAGTCGGGGCAGCCACACAGACTTTGCATCCCCCAGGCAATGACAATTCTGCTGAGCCTAAAGATCTGCAAGAGGGCGACACGCCCCCTCAATATAACCTGCTTACAGAGGGACAGAAACGAGCTAAATCCTTCTGGGGTGGGTTAGCCGAGGAGGCCAGGGGCGCTGCGGAGAAACCAGAGTCTGAGGAAGTCTGGGCTAGACCACCGCCCTACGCGCCCCAAGATGGTGCCGAGCAGAAAGGGGAAGAGCGGGGCGAGGATGCCCTTGGCGGGAACAGGGAGGAAGCGCTAAAATTAACAAGCGCACACAAGCGGGAAGGGGAGGAGAACAAGAAGGAGAAAGGTGGTGGGGGCGACCGGGAAGGGGAGGGGAGCGTGAGCGAAGGGCGGAAAGCCAATCAGAGCGGCCATCTGAAAATATGCCCTTATAGGGCAAACACCGCGCCGAGCAGAAGCCGGGGCGAACCAAGAAGGAGGGAACGGCCCGCCCGCAAGGGAAGTGGGCGGGGCCGGAGCCCAACAAAAAAATACCGGGACCCGGAAGAAACCAGTCAGTCGAGTTCCGATCCTGAATCAGCCGCTGGGTGGGACGAGTGGCTCCCGCCTGGT